ATGTTTCGAATAGAAGCAGCATTGAATTAACTTCCCTTAATCTAATACTTACTCAATAACACATTATTTGGATGTAATGGGAAAAATTACTATGTCGATTCCTGAATCAACATTATAAATCTCATCAAAAGACAAATAGAAATCTATATGTACGGCTCACTTGAATAAAATAATTTTCTTACTTATTCTCCTCATGTGAATGTTGAAACAAATAAGTTTGTTTCAATGATCTCTGTTGATTAGTGTACAACAATTAATTCGTTTGTACACAATTCGTGATTGTTAATTTAGTGAGTGATAATATATTTCGAAACTAGAGTAAAACAGTTGGTTTTAAGTAAACGTGTTCTATGTGTACTGAGTTGAGCGAGAAACAAATGTAAATAGTTGATCGTAGCTTAATTCTACTGAAATGTGATGTTGAAATAGTGTACAAAATTCTATATTTCACACAATTATCTTCATATGAGTGATGATTTCATTTTGGAAATCAGAGTATGAGTGAATGTTGTCATGAACCATACATAATAGCAAGATGATCATTTTACAAACTAATAGACTGATATAATGAAAAGAGAATTCTCGGTTGTTCAACTAAACTTTCTATTAACATTCAACATTGAATTTGTCAAATAGATTAAATGGCACTCACTTGATCACCGTCATCGCACCGACGATACAAAATACAGCCAACATAATCATCGTCAATTTCATCTTACTACAAGATTTTCAATTTCAATTGTAATAATTCGCCTATTCATACATCACATTATATAGTGATTCGAGATTCGTTTATTGTTCAAATGACCTTATTGTTTAAACCTATTCAAAGTTGAATAATTCATCTCTCGACATAATCGGATACGTGTTTATTAGTAAAATGAGAGTTTGTTTACTTGAGAACTCTGAGTGGTCAGTATGAAATAAACTGATTTTCTAGGTCATAATATTCTAAAATAAATTTAACATTTTGTTTGTTTATAAATCAACTTCATTAGTGTCTCATCGGTCACAATGTTTACTAAAAACATGATTCGAACTCACCTTCCTCCACATCATCAAAGTGTATCAACAAGAATGACATGAAAATAGTCAAATAGTTACACAGAAACCAATGCCATAATCCAATGTAGTTTCAAGTTAATTATCTAAGCCAAACTTCATTGATAAACATGCTCGTCCGAAAGTGAGTTTAGTAATAGACGGTACTCAGTTCAGTGGTTGAAACAGAAAATTGAAATCAACGATGTGGGTAAATTCTTCAATTTTTCTTTGAAGTACATATTCTATGAAGTATGGAATTGAGTTCGAAAAGTAATCATAATCTTGCCGTCAGAAATATATATTCAACAAATTGTGGGAATAGTAGTTATATGAATTTATAGGAGAAATAGAACCTATTATTTTATTACTTCAGAGTATGAAGCTGGAATTTCATGTTTTTATTATCTCACGAATCATCTACATTCGTGGAAAAATTCACATCAAATTTACATCATTAGAAATTTAGATAAACCTGAAGTCATTCGTAGATAATTAAAACGAACTACACTATAACTAGTAGACAACTTATGTTTCTTCGATTTAGCAAATGTTGAATCAAAATGTTAGATGTCGTTATTTTGTCAGTCGTTGTTAATCCAAGCACATCCAGGTTGTATGTTTTAATTTCAACAGCTGCTTGGATAACTTTTCTGTTCTCCCGCATTGCACTAACATTCCATATTCGTAAAAGACTGGTTGCTCTGGTTTTCAAAATAGGGCATCGTCCTCATCACTTCCGAAGGAACTGGGCTATCATCATGAGACGTCATAACTCTTTTAAATGAAGAACATTTTAATCCCAGTGTAGAGTTTCAATGGTTTGAATTGTTGTTTCCTGTTAGCGGTTTTTTAGTGAGTTAGTTTTATACCGAATGGGGTCGCTAGTACCATGCATATCACTCCTCTTTTATCCGGGCTTGAGACCGGCAATAGACAAAAAGGCTTCCGTTTGAAATTCAACTACAGATTTGGTAAGTACAAATGTCAGTGACATAGATATTCAGCGTGTATCATTAGTGATCCTGAGAATATAAAAATTCATTTCACTAGGTACCTAGTTGATAGTGCTTTCAAAATTCTTCATGGTGTCTTCAAAATTTTAATACCCAAAAATTTAGGATTTCAAAGATTTTTAAATTTCGTGCCCAAAGACTTTAATTCTATTAAGATTAAGGCTCATGTTTTTTTTTAATTTGCAAGAACATAGTGTAGAGAAAGTTGTGTGAATGATGAGTTTTTAATATCCGGTTACGCGGTGATGAATGATCATCATTTTGCTTTCATTCAGTAAGATGCAAAATTATGTCAGTTAAAGATAACATCATTATATGCAATTTTTTCATAAAAAAACGCAATTATCTGAGGAGAATATCATGAATTCACCCTATTTCAATAGGTAACCATAGGTTCCATGTAATCTAAATACCGAAATATCACTTAATAAAGCCTTATATAAACACCGTCTAACAGATCGATAACATCCAAATCAAGTCAAATATTATTTTTAAAAATAAGTACATTTTCATAGAATTTTTTTAGAAGTAAGCTCAAGAACTCACATCCATGATAATTAATAATAAAATATACAAACAGTTAAATTTTATCGATTTAAGAATAAATATTTAAACTATAGAGATACTAAGAAGAATATTATCAGCTAAGAAGTTAATTTTGACTAAATTCACACTATTCAGGATGATAGCGGAGTGATGTGATCAGCATGATTTCAGGAAAAATGTGAAGTAAGATATAAATATACTTTTTCATGTGGACACTCCGAATTTTTTCGTTAATCAACCAGTTTAGAAAGGAAATAAAATTAATTTTATTTATGAAAGAACATAATCTGAATTTGTCAAGTGCTTCAAGGCTAAGAACTGAACTCAACTTACAATTCATTGAGTTTAAGGAGTGATCAATAAAAAGTAACAAAACCACCGGATTCATTTTTTCATGCTGACCAACAAAGCAAACACTCTTTGATTAAAAAACAGATTATGAGTTTACCTATTAGTCGGTAATATTTTTTTGAAATCAAAGCCTAGTTTTGAGATTCTGTTTTGTGTTAAACAAAAAGAAGCAGGTAAATATTACTTTTCTCAGAAACACAACTTATATTATCCCATGTTATTACAAAACAGGAGAAAGCTAATTGTTAGGTTTCCACAATTATATTAATAAATAAAGTTTGTTTTTCATCATATTTTGAATTTTATTGAGAAAAAATGACATAACAGGAAATGTTGTTTATTCTTAGTATTTTAGTTCAATCAATTTCAATTAATTGTTGACAGGAATATTCCAACTAGTGATTTTTAAGAAACTAAATTTCATGTTGAACAATGTACTAGGCCTTATAATGGAAGATGATTTGTTGGAGATCATTGAAACGTATTTTGAGAGTAACCCGCTAAATTTTCTAATTTGCTGAGGGATTAGAGTTAAAACTGTGAAAACTGACTTTATTTGACATTGGATGTGTATTATTCGAAAAATTATTCCAGTGTATCGAATGCGTGACATAGCAGTAGAATTATTTATTTCAGCTGTGATGGAAGGCGATATACGTTTTAGAATACATATGTATAATTCGCAGTGCATCAGTTCATGAATCGTTTGAATTTATTCAAAATTTATACTTTTATCACAGTGATTGATTTTATAGAATGCCAATGTCTGTATTACCAAACAATACTGTATGGATAGTGTACTCACCACACGATCAGAAGTCTTTCAGATTGATACTATTTAGCATTGTTGGTTTATACAACTAGTGAGATATAAAAATTAAGATGAATGAATGATTACGAGTTCAGTTCTCGCAACTTTGACTGGCACAAGACAGTAAAAATGACTTAAATAAAGACTTTCGACTTTTTCACTGTACCTAATTGAATTGATTGCATGTTTTACTGACTTATTTTCTGCTTACTGCTGAAGCCATCAGAGTCTTTATTTATCAGTCTAACCTTTATACTTCAAAAGAAGTTTGTACAACCAATCTCTCTACCATGGATTGCACAAAATCCTTAGATTGATCAGAGTTAGGCATTAACATCGTTGGATGTCGGCTCAGTGATTCAAAGATTAAGCCTTCACGTGCAAGACCGACGTTCCTACAAGTAGCCGGAGTTGTAGATGAGTTGTTGATGAGTCCCATATCAAGACGAAACAGCCGTCCACAGCTTCCAAGTTTCTAATGATGATCTACCAGTGATTGATTCATGATTTCAATGTCGTTCAATTTGTATCGAAATGTTTTGCTATTTCTCTTGTAAATTACCTCATTTTGTTTCCTTTAACAGATTAGTTATTTTTCAGACATCGTTTTCATCATCACCTGTGGAATAACATTATAACTATGTGGCACTACTACTATTACTACTACAGTTAGTAATATTTAATTATCTTCGCAAACGATAAATATGTTTGTATAAAGTCAAAATGTAATATTTCTTTGGTGTGTTCACACTTTTACCAAATGTCTAACTGAGGACTTTCACCTGACTAAAACACTTTCAAAATTCAGATTCTTTCAGACATTCCGCCTGAACAAACGCATCGAAATCACTTTACTGAATGATGAATAGTATTTTATTTATCAAGGAGACATTGATAGACTATTTGAAGGTGAATTAAATCGATTTCATTATTAGGTATTCAGCAAACTGCACTCAAATTAATGGCTAGATGATTAGATTTAAATGAAATCTTTATGCTCATTTAAGGGGTGCAAACGCTTAACTATTCGAGTTCAAATTCTCTTTGTTAGTAGTGCTCGTTTTTTCAAAAATAGAAAAAGAAAGCCGTTCCCTGTCGTCCAATACAATGAACCACTTTGATACAAGTTATTGATAACGAAAACAGTGTCATAAAAGTTTTTTATTCATAGTTATTTTAACAATTAAATTAAATTAACTACATTTTTTTTTCTAACTAAATTACAATGTAAGATTATCATTTCTCGAAGATAAGACAAATTCACTGTCTATTAGACTTCATATATTATTATGGTGAATTCTGTGCGCTCAATTGTTCATCAATAGTACGAATAACTATAAAAATAGAACAACAACAACAACAGCAAGATATATATACACATGTTCATCATCAATGTCAATGGACACAAAAAGTGCCTACCAAAATTCAACATTTTACCTGTGGCTAAAAAGTTATGCATATTCTGTTCTAAACTATTCATTTGTAATATAGATTGAATTAGTGATGCATTTTGTGCGGAATATTGAATAATGATTTGTTGTATTCGCCTGACTACATTCATTTCACAATCTAAATTTGGCTTGAAAAAATAATAAGTAAATAAATTTAATTAAGCGCGTAAATTATTGGAATTTTGTTTGTTGAATTACCGTTTGTGTATTATTTCCTGCATTCATTAAAAACTCCCTAAAATAAAAATAGAAAAAAAATAAAATTTTGATAATCATAATGAAAATGTAGATAGGAAATGTTAAATACATTTGCGTCAAATGTCAGTCAATGCTTTCTGACAGAATGCAATACTCGGATAGAAGACTTTTATGACATTCATGTATGCATCATATAAGATAGACATGATTAACGTTGATACAGATAAACAAGAAATGAGTAGCTTGTAACAAATTACTCTCACTAATTTTTATTATTTTTGTATGAAATTGAAATTATTCTAGTTACATAAGTTAACATGTCGTTGAATAACATGAATAAATGATGAAGAGTCTAATTCAGGTGGATAGACGCTTTTGATTAAGTTGCATTCTCTATGAGTTGAAATTGGAAAACGTTATTGAAAGCTTGTTCAAACAACGCCAGAAACTCATACTTATTTGTAAAGTCCTGTTAATAGATTCTGAGAATTATTAGTTACTGCGAGACTGGATTATGAAGAGGTCAACCTCAGGAGGGAAACACGGTATCCAATGGACAGCCAGGATACAGCGAAACGATATGGACTTCTTAGATGATCTTGTTCTTCTGTCGCACACGCAACAACAAATGCAGGATAAGACGACCAGTGTAATACTAGCCTCAGCAGCAGGTCTCAACATATATGAAGAGAAAAGCAAGATCCTCCAATACAACACAACATGAAACAACCACATCACTCTGGATGGAGATGTCTTGGAGGACGTAAATACCTCTACATATCTCAACAGCATCATCGACACTCAAGGTGGATCCGATGCAGATCTGAAGGCGCGGATCATCAAAGCAAGGGTTGCATTTTTACAATTGAAAAATATCTGGAATTCAAAACAAATATCAACCAATATCAAAATCAAAATCTTCAATACAAATGTCAAGACAGTTCTACTGTATGGAGCAGAAACTTGGAGAACTACCAAAGCCATCATCCAGAGGATACAAGTGTTTATTAACAACTGTCTACGCAAAATACTTCGTATTCGTTGGCCAGACACCATCAACAACAACTTACTGTGGGAGAGAACAAACCAGATTCCAGTGGAGGAGGAAATCAGGAAGAAGCGGTGGAAGTGGATAGGACACACACTACGAAAAGCACCTAACTGCGTCACGAGACAAGCCCTCACATGGAACCCTCAAGGTCAAGGGAAAAGAGGAAAGCCAAGGAATATATTACACCTAGAAAAAGAGAAAGATATGAGAGGAATGAACAAACATTGGACAGAACTGGAGAAGGAAGCCCAGGACAGAGTTGGTTGGAGAAAACTGGTCGCCGGCCTGTTGTCCGTTGGGCGTAACAGGAGTAAGTAAGTAAGCAGGTAAATGCAATGACCGCAGATGAACTGAAGAAAATTTTTTTACAATAAATAAACTAAGACAAGTTTAAGTCTAAAAATGTTTTTGCGGAATATCATTTAAATCAGATTGTAGTTTCAGTAGGAAAATAATAACTTAGTGAATAGTTTTGCATATTCCTTATTAAGCGTGATCGATTACAAAAGTGATGTTATTTGGCTTTCTAATGTTTTTTTTTGAAGATTTATTGTACAAATGACTTATTGACGTCATGAATATCACTGTTAAGTTGATACTTACATACCTGTATTATTAACTTCACATTATTATAGCGGAAAGCATAGCGGAACACACTCCTTATTTTGTATGTAAATGTTCGCATGAAATTTCCAGATATTTCACTAGAGCGATGCTTTAATTGAAGATTTCTACTGCACCGAATTCAGTCTCGTACGATTTTTTTCAATTTACAGACAATTTAACAAAACTAACGTAATACGAAAAATTTTTTATGATATGAGCTAAACGATGCATAAAGTCGGATTACGCATTTACAATATAAGTCAGTTTTGTTCTATATTTTGATGAGGGACTGTAAATAAGTGAACTTTTCTGTGTATATGAATTGTGATAATACATAGTTGAGTACCTTAAAATTAATGAGTATACTCTTAAAATGAGAAAAAAGATCCTAGAAGTTGTTCTGTTAAATCACTCTCTATTAAATTGTTTTTCCTTGATCTCTGAACGTGGGTGCTTTGGTTATTCACTGTCTGAAATTACATACAATCTACGAGATAATAGAATCATTGTTTACCCATAAATATAAGTATTTAGTCAGGTTTGTATGTAAGTGAAAAGTGAATTTTAGTGTATATATATGTTTTAAGTTTTTATCAAATGTGAACATTTTCACTGCCGCATTCCAATACTTGATTTAGAATGCAATAACTGAGTAACAAAATTAAAGACTGTTAAATAAACGAATCCATTTGTTATTATTAAAAATCATGTTTGTAAATAATGAAAAGTAATCAAACGATTAAGCTGTTCAGTAAAATTCTAGTTCCAAGTAGTATACAATGCAAACGGCTAAATTTTGTCCGTTAAATTAATTTCAGAAAATAATTACTTATCCATGATATCGTGATCTATAAGTTGTTCTATTCTCTTTCAAATACCTGAAGATTATGTTCTTGAACTAATTCTTCACTGTACTCGAATATATCGAATATAGACCTTCAGGCAAAAACTTACCTTCAATTTTCGTGGTCATTTTTCAACTCATTTGCAACTTAATGTTTCATCAACCTTAGGAATAATTCAACCATTAAAACATTCATTAAACATTTTGGAATACTACTGAAGAAGCATATTTTTAAAAATTTTTTTCAAAATCCAATGAATAAAATTATTGAAATAAAATTGAAAAAAATAATTAGAAGCTCAACCAACTCACATAGATAAGGCGACATTCAAATAAATCAGTGTAACTAACACTTGGACGAATTTCATTTTGTTTGTTTTTTGTCCCAAAACAAAAAACTTTTTTTTACGGCTGAAACTATTCATATCATCTTCTGATTATATAATCATTAGGAGTTGCAATCAATTTTAATGTGTCCAATCAAAACTAAAAAGAAAACAGTCATGGTTAGTAAAGTAGATGGAATTCTTTTTTTTTTCGAAAAAAACAAACATACAGGTGGATAGAAAAACATTGTCTCTTCATGTGTAACAACAGTTTGATTTTTATTATTATTATTATGATAATAATTACGATTCGAACATTACTTACCCCTATCGTTAACTGACTGAAACTTCTGTATGAACTGAATTTGTGTGTCACATTTACACTAGTTCCTATCGGAATTCATAAAATGACTTGTTTAACAACAGTATGATGTCTTCATTTAGTTATTATGAAAGGTGGAAAAAGTTTGTGGTTCACCTGATTGTTAGCTTGTATAGTTGCAAGCTTGTAAACATTCCGTGTATAGATGAATCAAACGTGTTTTTTTCGTTCAAATACGGTTAATTAGGATTGACCATTAGGTTGCAGATGAATCATTTCAATTTTATTGTCATAATGATAGATTTTAATGTAAAGATTGTTTTACATCTACTTTCTTGATGTGTTCATTGATTTTGATAAATTTAATGCAACACTTTAAAACTATATACCAAATCTTTAAGTTTTATTCACAAGTGAAATTATCCACAATGTAGGAGATATATGAGTTAATTATTTTGAGTATTATGCAGTGTTGGGGATGTTAGATCCCCAGAACTCGCTTGATAAATGTCGTATTTTGGATTTCACGTTTGCCAGCATGGGCTGATCAGTTGACTTTGAGATTTTAAATTTCCTAGCAGGAAAATCCATGGCTGTGGTTGGCTGCTGTGTATTTTAGTGTGCTATTTTCTTAACTGTCCCAAGGACGTTTCTATGATGTATAAATAAACGAGAGTTGTGTGCTTGATTGTATAGTGATTGCTGAGTGTTGTAGAATATACTTTCTACTCTTACTAAGACTTCTTACTTTATTTGGGGATTCAAGATAGCCTATCTGGACGCTGGTAATTGTCTCATTCGCGTTTATCGACTAAGGTGAACTCATAATAGCTTCAAGCGTACCTAGTGACAAACATAACATGCAGTGACTAGTATACAACGCATTTAATGTTTAGTTAAATATCATTTCTGTCATAAAAGAACATTATTTTCTGTTCACTTGCTTGCATAATGAACAGAAAATGTTAAGAATTATTCATGAAAGTAGACTTCAGTAAACAGCTTAAAGCTAAATTTCTAACCGTCTGTCTTACTCTCTAGGCAATAAAATCAACCGTGTATCGCAAGTTTGTTTTGTTTGAAATTATTTCGAAACCATATCATTTTTGATGCATGGCGAACACCTTCTAAGCCCGAATTTATCTCAATAACTTCACTTTCTCTCCAGTTAGCTTTCTCAGTGTACATGATACCTGGAATGATTACTTACTCAGTTAACTGAATGTAACTGAATCTCATGTTTTAGCGATAATTAACAATGAAGTCAAATTCGATATTGTGTGAATATAGTTTTTATTGTTCGCTCTACCTTTTCACATTGACTTTTTAAAAATGCACGGTAAATTCTTAAATATATTATATCAAGAAAGCTTTCGATGTTAACTACTATTAACTTTTGATTTATGCATTATTCATCTCTTACCAATTCACAGAAAAACAAGTTACACACCACTTAGTATGTATCATATTTTTAACTAAGAATATCTAGTCAAATTTTATGTTTGTTCTGTTTGTTTTAAATGTATCAGTTGAATGCTTTTAAGTAATTTCGTAACAGTTTGAATGATTTCCATTTATGATACAACAAATTTATTGAATCGAGATCATTGTTATAAAAGAAATGACTCAAAATGTCAAGGTTCAACGTTATCGATTGAGAATTCACTTTCGTCAACCTAATTTTAATGATGCCGTTATATTGTAAAAGTTCAATTAATTTTTACATTCAACTAAAACTACTTACAACTGATCTAGAGATTAAAAAAATTTATAACTAGAAAACTAAATAAATATCAATTTTAGCTTATATATTTGTCTTTTAAAGATCTGATGTGTATTTTTATTAAGAAAATCTTAATTGTAAATTAATTACTTTGATTTAGAAACTAGTTCCTGAATGAACATGCTCAATAAAATTAATCATATTAAGATAGGAGACCGATGTTAGATTTCACTTCATTTTTTTTGTCAGAAATCTAATACTAACATGTTTTTTAAATATATGATCAAATGGATATTGATTACATAGAAATCTAATTTACCGGAACCTTATTCGCTAGAGAATTTAAATAAGCAAACCTAGAACTATTTGTGCCTTTTCTTTACTCTTAGGTGTTCGTTCTTAATTGAAAGTTTTGGGTGCAATTCAATCCAATGAGATGGACAGTCACAGGTTCCAAATGTAATATAGCATGAATTTGAGTTTTTAAATGTAAAAATGTTTAGAGCAGATAATTTTCACCTTGGTAGATGGAATCCTTTTGTCCTAAGTTAATCATCTTTTATCAAGAAATCCATCGGAGTTGCAGGAAGTTATTAGTAATATATAGTACAAGAATACGTTTTACGTGTTCTAATTGTAAAAATTTAATGATATCCAGTAATGATATCTAATTGTTGGGGATATCAGATCCCCAGAACTCGCTTGATAAATATCTTTATTTTGGATTTATTTCATGGACCAATCGGTTGACATTGAGATCACATTTTCCACCGCGAAAATCCTTGGCTGTGATTGGTTACTGTATCATTTAGTGTGCTATTTTTGTGACTGTCCCTAGGACGTCTCTATACAGTATAAATAAAAGCAATTTGAGTGCTTGGATTCATTGTGTGCTGGATGGGTGTTTGTAGAATACGATTTCTACACTATATCAAGAATTCTTGCTGATTCAATTTGGATCACAGTAGCCTACCTGGATGCTGGTTAATTGTTTTGTTCTCGTTATTCGACTAAGATGAACTCGTAATAGTTTAAGCATACCTAGAGACGAGTGTAACACTAATTATTAAGAAAAACTAGGAAAAATAGTGAAGATACATTTTAGTTGACTTGACAGACTAATTCAGTGAGCTGGTATTGCTTCAAATGATTTCTAATCAAGAATTTTGGTTAGTTAATGACAGCGATCGAAAATCTACGTCTATGGAACGGATGTAAACAAGCAGCCAACAAGCCAACAAAGATAATTTTGGTCTAATAAACACTAAATAAAAAAATTAATCTAATTTAAGGGTATTTTTTTATTCATACAACATTAGAAACTATGAATTCTTTTGTTTGCGTTCATGTGGCAGTACTACTTAACTTATGCACATTACAAATTCTTAACCGTATAGTTTTCATCACGAACTATCATTAACTAACAAAATCATTTAGTAATGACGAAAATTTGATAAACACTGTGCTGTATCTAAATATGATTTCAGTTTCCAACACTAACTGCCAAGCTCCGACTTCTACATTAAGCTGATTTACATTCGCTACAGACTAAGCTTGATTAGATCTCATGTAAGTTAATATTTAGAAAGCTTAAACCAAAATGGAGATCAGGTTTTTCAAAATATAGTTTTTTCGGAATTCGCCTGGTGTTGGGATAGTCAATCGAGAATAAAGCCACGCATATTGTGGATTAATGAACTATTTGATTTTTGTTCATAATAAACCATTTCATTAATGATGAACTATATGAATAATGTTCATGATAAACTATTTCATTAATGATGAATTATATGATTCATGTTCATGATAAACTATTTCATTTATGATGAACTATATGATTATCGTTCCTGACGAACTATTTGAAGCATGTTCAAATAATTAACGACTTTTATATAATTGTATAAATACGCATGTTTGATTGTATATTTTTGATTCTGACAAGAAGTGTTCTACAACGTCTTCCGTCTTCTTTTCTTTGAGCGGAGGGGTCTAACGTTCGGGTGTCATTAGTACAGTGGTTTGGCGTTACATCAAGTACAAAACATAAAACCTGGAAATCAGGATTATTTGTTACAGATCAATAATACCAAATATTAACGGACTTTAGGAGAACACAAGGAGTGGATTCACCTGCACCATTGCAAACGATTTTGAGCCATGTCGTTCACGGTCTCTAATCATCGATTACTATCATCTCGCGGGCCCCAACTAGGTAGTCTACACTTACTGACATGACTCAGTCCACTTGTCAGTGAATTCATGGATTTGTTGCATGTGTTTGGTTTAGCTACCCCTAACTTTCTTCCAGTCTGCTCATTCATCGTATAACATCGCTCCTCGATGCAGTCGGTGGTTATGTATTCTTAACACATGTCCCAAACACCTCAGTTGGTGAAATTTCAATACTTCACCCAATGATCTGCCATCCCTACCTTGTACTCGTTTCCTAACTATATCATTGCTTACTTGGTTGCCCCAGGATATACGAGCAATAGTTCGAAGACATCTACGATCGAAAACTGATAACCTAGGAATATCCTCAACTCGTACTGGCCATGTTTCGCGGCCATATAGTATGACGAAGCGAACTAGTGCTCAGTACACTCGTCCTTTGGTTAGCAAACGGATATCTCGTCGATACCATAAGTGACGCAGGTTGGCAAAAGCCAATCGAGCTTTCTGTATCCGTTCTGAGATTTCGTCAGTACTGACGATGATTTGAAAACTAGTTAAATCAACAGATATGTTGATGATTTGTATTGCCGATATCATACTTTTAAATATAAGTGCTAAGTTAATAATACCAAAACAACTTTGAATAGAGTCGTTTTCATTTAGATCACCAGTTTCTGTTGTCGTTAATAACCTTAATGAATCACTTAATCAGAACATTTTTAAATTTTGATCACACATATTCATTTACTGTATTTTCTATCACTGATATTATTCGTTCTAACATAATTCGCTGCTAAAGCTTCTATCTACTTTACACTAGGT